TGTGTGTGTGTGTGTGTGTGTGTATGTATGTATGTATGTATGTATACGTATATATATATATGTAAATGTATATATATATATACATGTATGTATGTATACGTATATATATGTATATGTATATATAGATATATATATAAATATATATATATATATATAACTCGGGATTAGTATTTTTCTGCCTTTCTGTTTCATCTCGGTAAATAAGGACATATAAATGTAATTGCTGGATCACTGTCATTGAACGATCGTTGTCCTATGAACCCTTGTTGCATTTGCTTGACAGTTTAATCTGAGACGGATCACATCGAGCACAAATCATAATCCACATTTGCTGACCCTGTGAATGTTGTCGATGTCTTTGATGTACTTGTTCGGTGGTAGTGTGGTTTGTATTTGTGATGTCAAGTTGTGTTGCCAATAATAATTCTGCGGTATTCCAATCGTTTATATAAATGCATGCATGTGTACTTGATGAAGGAATCTAAGTCAAAGATTAACAACTTCAATCAATGCACTTCTAACAGTTCTCCCATTAACGGTGTGCAGAGCACAAGCTTGTTGCAGAAAATTGAGAACATCGGGACTTGTCTTGCGGATCTAGAGCAAATAGACCTGGCTGGCGAACAGCAGGACGAGATAATACAAGAACGCATCTGCACTATTGAAGAGAACAAGTAAGTCTTTCGAGTGTGGTACGTGTAGTTATGGTTGTCCTGTCAATGGCTCCCAGTTGTGCCGTTGTGGTCAAAGAGAGGTCATTGCCTCGAACTAAATGTTAGGGTTGATACTGAGTTCTATCGGCTACTGCTCGGCTAGAATTTGATGAGATCAACAGACGATAGGCTCCACAGCTTATGTGTTTTAGACACCAATATTGCTTCGCAATCACATTATTCCTTATGTGCCGAGAAAACGTCGAGCTGGATGCTTCTTGAATTTAAAATGCTTCCTTGTATGTATCATTGTTGCTCATGTCAACTGTATGCCTATCATCGTCTGTTTCTGACTTTAGCAAGAAGATTGAGCGTTATCGAAAATTAGCTGTCTTTCAACAACTGGAGAAATTTAGTTCGGAAAAACAGGACGCAGAAGAGGATGTGAAGATGGCAACGGACGACAGTTGATGAGGACCCATACTTTTCGCATATACCGTAGGCATGTTCGACGCGAAAGTCGTGTATTTACAAACACGTTGATGAATGTTTTAAACTATCCTCTAGACCAAGGATGCGGTACACTCTCAGATTGTATGGCACCTGCAACTGATACCGATGATATCACATCAGTTAATTTGACATATGAACGGTTGGCATGCCAGCACAATGTCTGCCGCAAAATGTCTATACTCGGCTCCGCTGTCTATAATCTTGGCTGGGGAGGTTATGAGGTTGTCATGCCGACATAACGCGTGCCGCAAAATGCCCGCACTCGGTTCCTTCGTTATCATCTTGGCTGCGGCGATTATGACATTGCCATGTCAACACAGTTTTTGCCGCAAAATGCCCACTCTCAGTTCCGCTGTTTTTATATTCGTGGCTGCGGAGGTTATATAGATTTTGATAAATACGGTGCCACGAAGTTGCAGGACTGAGCTTCGCGCTCACTGCGTCATAAAATTTAGAATATATATATCTAAAACACAGAAACTGAATACAAGGTAATCTTCGATCTCCGAAGAGGGGGGTCAGCAATATTGTTTTGAATGGTGCGAACGATTTCGCTTACAACTGTACACGCCATGTTTATGTGATAGATCTGAGGACAAGGTATCGTCGTTTTATTATATTAAAATTTCTAGATTCTATTTTGATTATTTGTGTAACTAATGAATGACTGATCTGATACACACCATCTACAAGATGTGTATGTATTTAGCGAAGGCTAACCTGAGACTCTGCATCTTTATCGCCCTTCGTCACGGCCACGAAGGAGGTGTAAAGTAGGAAGACGCAACCCGCTCCCAAGATACCAAAGCATACATACATCCACGTTAGATCTGTGTCTGTGTCTGTGTCTGTATCACTGCCCGTAGCAGCACCACTTTCTGACGCATCAGGCTTTGTTGTGTCCAGGGTAGCCGAGTCACTCGTGCATGTAAACTCACTCACGTAGCTGTCTCCACTCAGCTGACAGAAGTTTGGCCCATCTGCGCAGTTGCATCCACCCAACTGAACCTTCTCAACCCGTGAGGTTAGTCCACCAATAACGGTACGTACCGCAATCTCGGACGCGTCTGTCACAGCCACAGGTCCAGTATATGGTACAAAGTCACCATTGCCTGTGATATCGTATTCAATGCTGGATCCGGGTGTCTCAGTGTTTGCCTCGAAACTTTTGCCTGCAACATTTACACCTGGGGGTGGGACACGGAATTGCGTGCCTACTTTCTCAACCTTCGCAAGCTCTCTGGTACCCACCACCTCGAAGAAGCCTGCAAAGTCCTTATCCATAGCCTCCGTGTCTACGAACGTTGTGTTGTCGCCTGCAAAGGTTTTGTTGGCCTCGTAGTCCAGCTCCCAGGCGGCCTTGTGCCAACCTCTCTCTGCTACTGCGATCAATCGGGGGAACATCTGGTACTCGAATTGGTCGTCTGTGCGTACTACCTCACTCCAGACGTGTCCCTGCAGACCTAGCACCTTCGATGAGTCTGTTGGACCCGAGGTGATGGTGTAGGCACTGCCGTCTCTGTCCTCAGTATACTCGGCGCATTGTGGGAGATTCTCAGGTGCGAAGGTGAACACCTTACGCAGAGAGGTCGTGTGCGAAGCCCAATAGTAGCCGCGTTCGTTGATGTTCTTCTCTTGGGGGAAGTCGAAGTACTGTTACGGGTATAGATTGAGAAGTGTGAGATTCTGCAGAAATATATCAGTTATAAGTATGCGATGCCGAATTCAGCTCAGAAACCAGCTCTAATATTTATGAACGGACATGATGAACCAGTACAACATACCAAGAAATCGGGGCAACTCAGTATGACATCATGGCCTAGATCATTGAAGGTCTGGATAGAGCCATCGGCACCCCAGAAGATGGGATCCCACAAATTCACAGTTGTGCGCTCAGTACCAAACTCAGCGTGTTGACTGCCCTTGAGACCATCGTTCCACGCCAACATCTCCTCGACACCGGCTTCGGCCAAGAACTCGGACACTACATAATGCATGATATATGCGTTATGAGTGCAAGTGTAACAGAGGTTATGAGTGCAACTGTAACAGGTATGTATCGTAATATCGGTTATGAGTGCAAGTGTAGCAGAGGTTATGAGTGCAAGTGTAGCAGAGGTTATGAGTGCAAGTGTAACAGGTATGTATCATATTACCGATACACTTGCACTCATTACCGATAATATGAGTGCAACTGTAACAGGTATGTATCATATTATCCTAGGATGGCATAAGCGGTGGTCTATTTCGAACGAAACCATATTTGCACATATTACACATACACACCTTCAACACCCCAAGTATGAGTAATCTCTTCAAAAGTGATATTGTTAGCCGCGATGTATGCCTGGCAAGCGGGTGAACCTTCGAAAGGTTGCTGACGCATCTCTGGTGGAAAGCCAGCGTCATCGTATCCTCCGTGTGTGTACACATTCACAACTTCATCGCCACCGTAGTGCCACTTGCGGAGAGGCACACCCACAGCAGTGTACATGGCCTTGACCTCGGTTATGATCTTCTTAATCCATGCCTGTGCACCGGGCACGCATGGGTTGAGGCAACTCTCCTTGTGGTAGAATTGCACGGTTTGGATAAAGGTGGTATCTTCAGGGTCGTCCAGACGGTAGGTATCATCAGTTCGGCTACGCATACTAATAACAGCAGCGCGTGAGTGGCCGGGCATATCGAATTCGGGTACAACTTCGATATTTCGGGCGGTGGCGTATGTTAGAATCTCCTTGAAGTCTTCGACCGAGAAGTACTCTTCATCCGCATGCTCCTCGGGTCCATAACCTAACATAGGCTTCAAGCACTTGGTCTCAGTGTTGTCATGGCATCGCTTGCTACCTATGGTTGTTAGTTCGGGTAGACCAGGAATCTCAAGACGGAAACCCTCATCGTCACTCAAGTGGAAGTGGAAGTGATTCAGCTTATACGATGCCATGTTATCGAGCAGGCGTAGGATAGACTCTTTGCTGTGGAAGTTGCGGGCCACATCGGCGAATGCTCCACGGATAGGTAGGCGGGGAGTATCCTCGATCTCAACCTCGGGGATGGTAGTCTTCTTGGTGTCCACCAAACTCAAGATAGACACAATACCGTAGAACAAACCCTTGGGGTTGCCGGCAGTAACTACAGAACCATCACTCGCCACACTGAGTGTGTAAGCCTCTTCACTCTCGTTAACAGCTTGTCTACGCGCAACGGGTGTGGTGGGTGCGATCGCGAGCGTGACCTTGTGTCCCTCTGTGGACCTTGCAAGGCCTGCACGCAACATAAGTGTCGTGACAGCAGCCTGGACCTCTGGGGTCAGTACGGAGTCATCAATATTCATTCCCTTGCTGATATCTGCAGTGCCACTTCCAACAGTTGTCTTCAACGGCTGGGGTACAATACGAGCCGTAACATCATCGGCAGTGATGGCCGAGAGATTTTTGTTGTAGTCGAATCGGTTCTTGGGTGTCATCTTGGTCAAACTTGTTCCGGGATAGCCCTCACCGTCTACCGTATCTCCAATAGTGGTTGAATAGCGCAGCACTTGTTCGGTGTCGGTATTAGCGATCGCCTTGGTGGCGTTGGTGACCATGTCCTCAACGTAGAAGCGCGGGAAGAAGTCAGTCTGGAATAGAAGCCAGTACTCCCACTTGACTTGCATGGAGATGGTGGAATAGGGTCCATTGAAACCTGTGAAGTTTGCCATAGGGACAATCTCGTGGTTGTCGCCGGTGACATGGTTGATTGCGAATTCTGTGCTGTTGCTCTCCTTCAACATTCTAGGCGTCGAGAAGTGGATCTTGAAGGCCGCTGAATCGGTGTAACTAGCGTCTCCGTGGTATACAAAGTCCAACTGAGCAAGTGCGCAGAAACCGCCATCAGCTTCCTTGCAAGTATAATCCCAATTACTGATTACAGAATGCGTTATGACCAAATTCTTAGCCAAATCATCGACCAGTGTAGTGGTGGAGTCAGCGGGAGCCTGGCATATGAATTGGTTCTCGAAAGAGGTGCTATTCAGTACACATACTGTTCCACTGGCGCACGCACAGTTCTCGGTCAGGATTGTCACCGCACGAGACGCAACCCCGCCATGTACAGCTCGCACTTGGACCTTGGAAGCATCTACTATACCCATTGGTCCTTTGTATACTCCGAAGCCATATCCAGTGTCTGCCTCGATCTTAGCGCCGGGGGTATCATGGTTAGCTGTCAGTATTCCACCAGTATAATCGATACCTGGAGGAGACACACGCATATTGGAACCGATGGCGGTGAGCTTATCAGCCTCGCGCATACCGAACACGCCCATGAATTCATCAATATCCGCATCAAGAGCTGCTGTATCAACGAATGAGGTACCATTGCCGTAGGTTTGCATCGGAACGTATTCCAACTCCCATGCGGCTTTGTGCCATGCCCGTTCAGCGACGGCCAGAAGACGAGGGAACATCATATGCTCAAGAGTGTCATCATCTCTAACAACCTCTGACCAAACTTGGGCCTGAATACCTTGTACTACAGGTTTTCGCGCTGACGAAGTAACTTCATATGGAGTTCCGCTACGTTGCTCAGTGTACTCAGCCGTCTGTGGCATGTTGTCGGGCGCAAACCCGAATACTTTGCGCATGTTTGTGGATCGAGCACCCCAGTAGTAACCACGCTCATCGGGGTTACGTTCGTATGGGAAGTCAAAGTAGAGGAAGTCCGGGCATGACAGTACAACTTCATGACCCAGATCGTTAAATGTCAATACATTTGCATCGGCGCCCCAGAACACTGTATCCCAAATGTTTACAGTAGTCCTGTCAGTCTTGAACTCGGAATGATTTGAATCTTTGAATCCATCGTTCCAAGCGTATACATTTTTCACAGTACCAGTCTCGTTCAAGAAACCAGACACCTCCACTCCCCATGTATGTGTGATATCTTCGAAGTCGATACCGCGCTCTTCAATCCATGCTTGACAAGCTGGAGACTTTGAGAAAGGCAGATCCTTGATGCTCTCGTCTTCGACCTGATCGTACCCGGCATGAGTATACACATTGGTAACCTCATCACCACCGTAATGCCAAGAATCCATAGTAAGACCGGCCTCAGTGTACATAGCGCCGAGCTCGCTGATGATTTTCTTTACCCACTTCGCAGATCCAGGGACACAGGGGTTTAGACAACTTTCTCGGCCATAGAACTGCACAGTGCGAATGAAGGTCGTGTCCTCTGGATCATCCAGCTTGTACTCGGCATTATCAGTCATAGACACAACTGCAGCTCGAGAGTGGCCGGGCATATCGAATTCAGGAATGACTTCGATACCCCGAGCGTTTGCATATTGCAGTATCTCGATGAACTCGGCTTTGGTGAAGAATTCAGGGGTGGCGCTCTCGTCAGGTCCAGCTCCTAGTTGCGGTGACAAACATTTCTTTTCAGTCGGGTCGTGGCATCTTTTCGATCCAATGTTGGTAAGCTCTGGGAGACCAGGTATTTCAAGGCGGAACCCTTCGTCATCACTGAGGTGAAAGTGGAAGTGATTCAACTTGTACGCTGCCATGTTCGAAAGCAATCGCAGGATGGAATCTTTCTTGTGGAAATTTCTTCCTACATCAACGAAAGCGCCGCGAGTGGGATAACGTGGAGCATCGAAAATGGCTGCCTCGGGTATCGTGTGTTCACCGACATGTACAAGTCCAACGACGGTCATGACACCATAGAACGCACCAACCTCATCAAATCCTTGAATAGTAGATCCAGCGTTAGCCAGAGTAAGTTGATAACCCTCAGCTTTCGCCGCCTCAGGGGCCAGTCCAGTACCATTGATTGTGACTGTGATTGTGTGTCCAGTAGCGTTACGCATCACACCCACGTTTGCGAGATGTTGAGTGATTGCAGCTTGCATGTCAGTACTCAAGGTAGCATCATCCAGGTTGATGCCTGCGCTTATATCCACATTACCGACCCCTGCGACTGTGGATAGAGGTTTTGGAATAACACGCAGTCGATTTTCCTGTGTAGTCACATTAAGCTCGTTGTTCGTAATAAATCGCATTGCCTCCGTGTCCTTAACTAGCTCATCTCCAGTGTTAGCAACGTCTCCAAGAGGTACTGAGTATGCCTTGATTACTTCGGTGTCAGTGTTGGGGATGACAGCTGTGTTTCCACCGGCATCAACAACAAACCATCGTGGAATCACATCAGTTTGGAACAGCATCCAGTACTCCCATTTCTGCTTTAATTCTCTGCGTGCCTCGCCCGCTTTGAAACCGGTGAATGCATCAGTAGGTGTTATTATATGATTATCTCCGGTGGTGTGTGTGACGTTGAACTCAGAATCAAGATTCTCCATCAACATACGAATGCTACTGAAGCGAATCTCCCAATCCTTCTCCAAAACGTCGGTCTCGCCGGTGTACTCGATGAACGTAGATGCAGAGAAGCAAAACATCCAGTCAGCGTTGTTGCACTCTTGCACAAAATTATCGTGTACTTGAAATTCAATCTGTGGGAATGACAAAAAAAAATTGAGATACTGCACACGCCACTGTTTTTAAAAAATTGAAATACAAGAGAAAGTTGTACCGATACAAAAGTTACAAGATACAATAAACTACCTTGAGATTTTGAGCAAGCTCGGCAGCGCTTATTGCGTAAGTTGTCGGTAGAAGAACCAACGCGGCCGCAGCGACCACTTGAGAAGACAGCATGACGAACCACTATATTATATTGTTGGTTTAAAAATTAATAAAGCTATATGTTGATTATTTATACAAAATGAGGAATCACCCCTATGAATATATGGCAACAGAAAGTTGTAACGTAATGTATTTATATGTATTCGCGTGCTTGATTGCCACGAGGCCACAGACTAAATCACCTATTCACTTATGCAGTTTCGGATATTATGATTCCATAGAAAACGACAGCTGTGGGGCTGGGCTCGGTATTTGTTGTGGACATATTTGGAAACAATGGGCTCGTCAAAGGTAGCCACTGGGCCACTGACATGTATCCGACTGCATTTTTGATTTCTCGAACTCTCAACACAACACCATATTGAGGAGACTAATGAGCAAATAGCCATATTTGGGATATGCTGCGGGTAGCGGTTGTGAATTAGAATATTGTGCATCAATGATTCAAATTTCACTGTGTGTACTGTGTAGTGTGTACCAATGGGCAATGTGTGTACTGTGTGGACTGTGGAGTGTGGAGTGTGGAGTTGTGGACTCTCTGGCTCTCGGTATGTATTTCACCTGCCCCCCTTTTTTTTAAATAAAAAAACATTAGAACCAATTATGATCATCCGCCATATACGATATAATTTCAAATATGGCACGTACATATTTCACCACTGACCACATTCATAAGTACCACGGATCATCGGCTTCACCCCTGATCCGTGATGGTAACAATATTGAGTATTGAGTATAATTCTCCTGCTGCTGAATGCTCTGAATTGCTGATGCTCCAGCTCCAGACCTAAAAACGTAGTACATGCGTATAATAATAGGGACTATAATATCAAATATGACTCTACAGTCTACAACTCTACATAGAGTATATAACTATATACAGACATATCGACGTCTGACGCGCAGCTGAGTGTGTCAGTGGGTGGGGGACTGGGCCCGCTGGGGTCTGGGGGTCGTGTTACATCATGTGTACAGATGTTATTAGATGTAAGACTTCTGTCAATGTGGAGTGTGGACTGTGGACAGTGTGGAGTGACAGAGTTTGCTTGACTCATTGACAGATTGAGAGTATGTTTGTATATTTTATTGCAGATGAATCTGCATTTTTGTTTGCTCACTTTGCTATATGTTTTGTTCTTGAAAAATATATTGACTGAAACATGTACTTTATAGATGTCATGACTCATCACTCTTGATACTACTCCCAATTCCTGATACACTTGAGTTGCTCTTCCATAGCTATTGACGAGTTATGTACGACTAAAATTGTATAGAATATTATGTACAGTCTGAGATTTATTTTTTTTTAAAAGTGTAGCATATGTGAATAGTTGAAGATGTACAGAATATGTACCTCAAGTCTCAGAGTTGTTGAGAGTTCTCATCACTCACCAGTTAGTCCTCAATCTATCTGTCCTTAGGTCCTTACATTAAACCCCAGCAGAGAACTTGGAAAGCCGAGGACTCTCTACTAGCTCACTCTACTACTGTAGTAGAGACGAGAGAGTATGTGGAGAGAGAGAAGGACACAAAGGAGGCATGGAAGGAGTGAGGACTGAGGAGTTCAGAGAACTCCAGACGTTTTCTGTTTCTCGTTTCACTGTTTCAGTCACATCGCACGCGATCAGGAACTTTCAAAGGAATCTTTGTCCTTTGGTATTCGCAAGTCCGCGACTGTGCGTGTGTGACTGTGTGGAGTGTGGACGATTCGGAAAAGTGTATTATTGGGATTGCCAAAGCTTTTTACCCGTTGGGCCGTTGCCCGTTGATCTTATGATTTCTCAGTTCTGAGCACTAACTCTTCTCTCCTAACTACCATCAATAACACCGCCGCAATATATCAATATGAACACTGTGTCGAATATCATGGCCCTCTGAATAAAGTCTCTCGAAAACCCCCCTTCTCTCCATTTACCACGACGGAGACTCAATCCAGAGGGCCATGCGAATATATAACAAAACAAACAAGCATGTGTTTTCAATTTTCGGCTTGTCGCCGCTTTCGTATTAAAATTAGAGTTTTTATAGGCCTGTCTATTAGACTCTTCGTACACAGTACACATTACACACACACCAGTCACCACACACCAGTCACCACACAAAACAAGAAGGGAGAAGAGTTCCTGTGTAGTGACTAGTGTGTCATGTTATGTCTTGGACTACTGTGTAGACGGCAGAGGCCGCCAGACGGCCAGAGAGTTAGTGGCAGTGGAGTAAGCCTGTAGACTGTGTCATTAAGTGGCTGTGACCACTAGTCACTTGACTGACTGTGGGAGTGTACATACATACTACATCGGGCAGCTGTCCTTATCGGAATGTCGGAACTCGGAGTGTCGGACTATCGGTGACTCGGTGCCAGCAGTCCGGCACTGCCGGGTGGTCGGACTTCCTGGCTCCAGCTTCCCGCCTACCGGTATTGGCATCAAATTTCATTGCTGGAGCTGTACTACATAGCTCACAAAAGTGGTCTCAGCCTTTCGGCCCGTTTCGGGGAGGGTCCATAAACCCTAAAACCTAAATCTGCTCGACCCATTCCGATTCAAAAAAAAATGAAATAAACAAATCGAGATTTGAGGCCAACTTGTACTTTTAGGACGTTCTGGACAACTCAAAGCAAATCAGACGTGTACTTTTTTCTGAAGAATGTTTACTAAAAAATGCCCTCCCGCCCATCATTCTCATTCAGTGGACTGGGCGTGGGCTTGGCCTTGTGGCCTTTATTTATTTGTGTGCTATCGTTCATTTTTGACCTTCTTGTCGACCTATATGCACCAAATGTTATTCCTAAATTTAAAACATTCGGGGCTGGTATTGGCTAATTTTCAATTAATCTATTTATAGTTCTACATATACTGGAAAAAAACTGTGGAGCTAAATGTGAACTTCAGTGAAGTCCAAAATTTCAAGAGTACGAGAGCTAGTACTATACTTACTATAGGAGTAGTCTACTAATCTTTTCTGATTTTATTTTTTATTTTTAGAAGGAGGCTATGCGATTTCAGTTACTCTCATCTCTGACTCTGTGAGTACACATATATACAAATTGAGTGGCAGCAGTAGGCTACTGGGCCACTTAAAAATGGAATCAAAAACAATGGAACTGTCTCGACTCTCGATTCTCGAGTCTCAACTCTCGACAAACTTACTCGCGAGTCATAACTGTCTCTTGTATTACGCGGTGAATGGTGATGTGATGCACTGACGCCACAATGATGCAAGAGTCATGACCCTCTGACGGGTCTGACCCTAAGCTCAATACGTTTTTCCTATATGCGATAAACTTTAAACGTAAACGCAAAAGGTTTTGAGCAATACCGTTTTTTTAAAGAAAATGCATAGCCCTCTAAATGAAACAGAAAATGCTTTTTGAAACTATTCACAACTGACACAAAGTGAAAAACAGGACAATTCGTGACAGTTAGAGGCCGCCACAAAAATGTACCTATTTGTAAACCCATAGGACTATATTTAGGATAAACTTTTAACGTAAACGCTTTTTGCGTTTTAACGGGAAACGTTATGAGGTTAGGACTGAGGCCCTGAGGCCTGAGCCTCCTGAGGTTCTGTCCGCTCTGATGAGTGACGGTCTGACCCGACTGACCGGTCTGACAGCTCTTCTGAAATCTGAGCCCCTCTACATACTACCGCCTTACTGTGGAGCTAGTAGTACTATAGTAGGCGCTGCGAGAGCAAATGAGATTGTAAATACGGATGTATTACAGAGTTACTCTAGTATCACTGTATTAGACCACAATCCACATACACACTTACACAGCACTCAGCACTCAGCACTCAGCACTCAGCACTCAGCACTCAGCACTCAGCACTCAGCACTCAGCGTCCCTCGGGACTGGTTCTGGAGGAGTGGGGTAGTGGAGGATCAGGAAGAGTACATGGAGGATCAGGAAGAGTACATGGAGGATCAGGAAGAGTACATGGAGGATCAGGGAGAAGAAAATAAAAATCATCCCTCTGTTGAGTGTTGTGGCCCGCCTCTGGGCCCTGGGGCCTGGGGTGGCTGGGGCCTGGCCCGCCTCGGCCCTGGGGCAGACTCTGGGGGTGATCGATGTTTACAGAGAGAGCGTAGGGTGTCGGGCCCGTCCTCCCCTCCAGAGTGTTCGCTCGAAACATGTATGTTTGTAAATATTTATGATGTCCGTAAACTGTACATTGTTTTGTAACAAAATGACATTACACAAAGTCCAATATGAATATATACCTATAACTTGGCGGGGTATTAATAGATAAGGTAATTCTTTCTGAGACTTCTCCGCTTGTAGAGACGCCTCGAGTCTTGTACATCTCATCGAGTCTTGTACATCTCACTATACAACTAGCAGACCGGGCCTTTTCTTCTACCATTATTGATGTAATATAGTAGAACCGGGACCTGAGAGAGACCTTTCGAGTTCACATGACTCGGATCACAGTTTCAAATAGGTAGTCAACCCCCATAAACGCATGAATTGCGAGGACACTCAATTCGGCATCCAAGTCTCTCATATTCCTTCGGCATTTTAACTCACATATCATACATATCGTTGGATTCTATGAATTCAAATGCAGCATCTCGATACGTTGTTTTTTTACAACACCCTCGATCATTGGTCAGGGTGCTAAAAGTAAGTGCACAATCACAGAAAACATAAAAAATTATATCATTTACTAATAAAGCATTGTATAGATTGTCACAACCTGCAATTCCAGGTTACATTTTTGTCCTAAACGAAGATAAAACAGCAAATAGAAGCTATCACTTCGGATCATGCGCTACTTTCTTTTCTACGTCTATTCTAATGAAACTTACACTTCCATGTTGCAGTTGGGCGTCTATCACATGATTCCCAGAAGAAGGCCTAATTATTGTGGATGAGCGTTTATAAAGCATTTAGATGAAGTACAACTTGATCAGATCACTTTCAACCCCACCGACACCCAGTATATATAATGAAGTATGAGTCCATTCGAACATCAGACAAACTCATCGCTATGAATGGGCTATAATGCAAATCATATGTCATAGCTCTATGAACTATCTACTGTATAAGTGATGACAGAAGGCCTGACACCATACACAAGGTAGGTATGTACAGAAAGTCGTCAAAAAGTGAAAGAACGAAAGTCTGGGTGGAAAGTTCACGAGATGGCCAACATACAAATTGTTCCAACGCATGGTGGCTTTAATATGGGTGATGATCAAGGTCGCGTATTTAATTTGACAAATAAAACTTGTGTGCGCAAACAAAGGCATACATTCTGAAATAAATCGAATCGAACCTTGAACCCATTTATGAGATAAAAGCTTTTATTTAGAACGGTTATAATACTCAAGAGGCTTGTCTTATCGTGGGCGTGAGTTTCGCCAATGATGCACAAAGTGGGAGGTATCGTTTTGGTGTTTCAGTCGCAATTCCGATCTAAATGTTCACTCCACATTTCACTCTGAAACCAAACATTCAGATGTATGAAACGATTCGACCCTTGTCCCATGTTCCTTGTACTCACTCTATGCGCGTGTCACCTTTCACATGCTTGCGTGGGTATAGTCTACCTTGATCCCCGAAACCGAGAGAGCATAGTCTGCGACACTATCAGACAGTATTGAAAGCACCGACAACAATAGGCTCAAACTATCTCGTTGATCAGACAGGCTTACGCCCAATTTGTGTACATCCCGGAATTGTTATCACAGTTGTATCTCGCAAAGCTGCGGTAGTCCCACTCATGCAGCTTACATTTGCATATAGACAGCCTCACTCCACAAGCGACAGAGCATGCCGATAACTAATCACCTTGACGCTTCGTCATTGTGTGTCACCCCCTTTCGAAGCCACACGAAAAAGACCCCTTCGTAGATGTGTCTGACACATACCCCACACAGCTGGTACGGTATCCATAAGGCATCGATTCGCAGGGTATCTAACGCTCTCTACAATCTCCGACTGTGAGCAAAGGGCGGCTGATTGGCAGTTCGAATACGCTGGGCTGCAGACACCAGTGCCACCGAGGGATGTTATCCGCTAACTACTTGCTCTGCCCCACACCTGTCAACGAGCAAGTAAAAACAAATGATCAGAAAAGCAACATCATTCAAACTTAGGAGGGAGAGAAAGAATCACAATACTACTCCTCTCCGGTGAATTACATAGTGCATAAAAATGATGGGATTTTTACGATGTAGATTTCTGAATATTTATGAGCGTTGACAACCGATATTGCGATGTACAAGAACCTTCGATATTCAAAAAAGGGTATTTCCAACAGAAAGATCTTCTGACAGCATATCAGGGATGCGAGGCCTGAAGTACCATAATGTTAGCAATTAACCACACCTCGACCCACTAGCAAAAGGCATTTTTAAATCATATACAATAATTATATCTGCCAACATTAGTCGGAACAATCACCGATGATTGCGTAGTTGCTATCACGCAAGCTCGCATGACTCTGCTCCAACTTCAACTTGATCGGTTGGATATCTCTAACTGATACAAATAACCCTGAGGTATGCTGGCATTTCCTCAGGTACTACATGCGATAAAACATAGCACCAGCATATGGGCAGAACAGAATATCTAAGAAGTGAAAGCACTCAACTGATACTTCGTCAAAGTTAATATTCAGGCTTCTGGTCGATAAACTTATACACTTTCACAAAACCTAGTAAACATGGGCTTCATAGCTCATGTGAATACACAATCTATAACGCTGCACATAATATTTTCAAAAAAAAAGATAATTTCATATTATATTCGCATTCGATACCAATACACACATTTACTGATGCGATAAAAGCCACAAAGAGCAAGTCTCCAGTTTACATACTCTTCGCATCACAGGCAACAATCTTGACAGTATCAGCCACCTCCTCGATATTATCTGTCTTGAATGTGGTATTGCTCAGGATGAAGGACCATACAAAATCACAGTAGTTGTAGGTGTGGAGCATCCCCTTGAAATTGCACTTGCTTTTGATCTTGTTGGTCAGACCTTGACTGATAGCCTCATCAAACTGAATAAATATCTGTGGAGAGTAGAGTTGCGCAACAACAAAATATAATATATACATTTAATATCTACAAATATATATATATATATATATATATATATATACATATATATATATATATGTGTGTGTGTAGTGTGTGTGTGTGT